AGGAAGCATAGACATCTGATAGAAACAACAAGAATATTGCTCAATACAGCATCTATTCCATACAAATATTGGCCCGATACAGTTCTTACAGCATCTTACTTGATCAACAGAATGCCATCTCAGAATACCAAAAACAAGTCTCCATATCAGCTGCTATACAGCAAGACTCCAGATTATTCCATATTAAGAACTTTTGGATGTGAATGTTTTCCTTGGATACCACCACAAAATCGACACAAACTAGCCCCCAGAGCCACACCATGCATTTTTTTGGGGATATTCACCTTATCACAAAGGATACAAATGCCTAAATCCTAACACGAACAAAATAACCATCTCTCGACATGTTACATTTCATGAGGATGTATTTCCTTTTACCAAAACTCCCCAGACCAACCACACAACAGCCACACATACCTTTCCCAGTAATCCATATCTCCTAACACCCACAACACAAATCACAAATACATCTCAGACCATTATAACACCACCAAAAATATCCCAACCATCACAAACAACACTTCAGCCATCTCATTTTACAAACCAACCCACACAATCTCTGTCCCAGTCAAATAATTCTACAACACAAACACCAACTCCCCCACCTGTACACACACACCCAATGCTCACAAGACTCAAAACGGGTTCCCTTAAACCTAAAACCATATTAAACCTCTTACATCAACACTCTCCAAACCAAGATCCAATCACATACAAAGAAGCAGCTTAACATTCACATTGGAGACAAGCAATGGAAATTGAATTTATGGCACTTCAGCAACAACAAACATGGTCGTTAGTACCACCACCATCAAATACTCCAATACTGGGATGTAAATGGACTTACAAAACAAAATGTTATTTAGATGGTTCAGTTGCAAGGTATAAAGCAAGACTGGTTGCTCAAGGCAATAGGCAACAGTATGGAATAAACTATCCGGAAACGTTCAGTCCAGTAGCAAAATTCCCTACTATCCGGATGCTCTTCACTATTGCATTCAACAAGAAATGGGAGGTACAAGAACTTGATGTAAATAATGCATTTCTGCATGGAAAACTGACAGACACGATATACATGAGACAACCATCGGGATATGAAGACAAAGAAAATCTGGAACATGTTTGTAAGCTCCATAAGGCAATATATGGGCTAGAACAAGCTTCAAGACAATGGTTTGACACATTCTCAGCATGCCTACAAAAATTGGGATTTCAACCAAGCAAAACAGATCCGTCCCTTATGATACTCTTACAAAATGGCCATCAGGTATACATACTAACGTATATTGACGACATATTAATCATAGGTACCAATCTTAAACTCATATCCAACATCATATTGAAACTTCAACACACATTCTCTATGAAACATCTAGGCAAGGCAAATAATTTTCTTGGCATAAAAATACTTCAATATGAAAATTCTATTTTTTTATCTCAAGCACAATATGCAAAATCTCTTCTTCAAACCACAGGCATGCATGCATGTAAGTCCCTATCTAACCCATCATGTACCAAACCACCACAAAACATACCGCATGATCCTAATTTCACAGATCCATATACATATCGACAAATAACTGGATCTTTACAATACTTGACCATAACAAGACCTGACATAGCATTTCATGTAAACCTACTTTGTCAACACATGCATGATCCTCAATCACTACATGCATATCTTCTCAAAAGATTACTCAGATATATCAAAGGGACAGAAAACTACGGTCTTCCCATATCATATGGACCGCTAGATCTCTCGACATACTCAGATATCGATTGGGGAGGAGACACATAAACGAGAAGATCTATCTCAGGATACTGCTCGTTTCTTGGAACAACACCGATTTCATGGACAGTAAAGAAACAACATATCGTAGCCAGATCTTCCATAGAAGCCGAATATAAAGCCCTAGCGACAGCTATCACAGACATCATTTGGCTAAGACAACTGCTACAGGATTTCAAAATACAAGTTTTGAATCCCACAGATCTCCACTACGACAATACTTCAACGATCGCCTTAGCCATCAATCCTGTATTTCATGCAAGAACAAAACACATAGAAATAGACCATCACTTTATATGACATCAGATACACTCGAATATCATTCGAGTTCAGAAAATAAGTACACAGGAGCAGATTACAGACATATTGACGAAGCCGCTCTCCACCTCAAGATATCAGTTTCTCAGAGACAAGCTAAGGATTTCAGAAAACCCTCAGCTTGAAGGGGGGTAAAAAGGAGAGAACAAACAGAACGAAGATAGCCGCCGTTCTCATCCATTAAATTACATTTACAGTAGAGTACACATCAGCACAGTCCAAGAAATGAATCTCAGCCACATGTTTTAGATTAATTAATAGCCACATATATATTCAATACATGTAAATAGTATAAATACATGTAATATTGATCAAATGAATACAAGAAAAGATAATCTGCTGAGTACTCCAAAATTTGAGTTTCCTGCTTCTTTAATTGGAGGCTTCAAAGCTAGGTGTTGACTTATATTATGAATCATATTGTAACATGGCAAAAATTCCTTGGTAGTATGACTGTGGCGGTGATGGCAGTATGACTTGTGAGAGTGAGTTAATATATATTAATATAGGAAATGAGTAACATCCTCTATAATAGTTTCAATAGATGGTTGTGAATTACGATCTCTACATTTATCATGCCATTAACATGCTAAATATGGCAGTAGGTCCAATGAAGGTAACTTACGACATGTTAGTTGATTATCCTATATAAATTCTCTCGGAGTTTGAAAAACTCTTGCTCATAGAGTGAATGAATAGCTAGTGTCCTTAGAGATAGATGTGGTGGAATAGATTTGTATACCTCTCGATTGCCAACGGTCATGGAGGTGGTTAATAACCATCATGAGGGACTAGTGGAGCTATAAGTGACTAACAATCTGTATAGAATTAAAAAAACTTTAAATTTATATGTCAACACACATTATGTATCTTATTATAAACATGGACAAGGATTCTATGATAGTATGGCTGTGATGGTGGTAGCAATATGAAGTTGATCTAGAAGAGCGTGGAAGCATTCCATAATAGCATTATGTATGATAATCTCGATAGCTGGTGGAGAATCTTGATGTCTATATTTACCATGCCACCTCTTACATAACACTCTGACGGTGGTTGTGATAGAAAAGTAAAATCATCCCATGATGGAGTGGGTTATGGTATATGAAGTTGGGTTACATCCTGTATCTGTATCTCTATATATAGAGGTTAGAGAGAAATTATAGTGGCTTGAGACTTTTGAAACTTAGGTATAGCATTTGTCCCTAGCAAGATCACTTGTGCAAGCCCTTGCTCAAACTCTTCATCAGACATAAAATTAAGCTCAAGATCAGCCACATCACAGTTGGGCTCAGTCACTATTGACTAATAAAAAAAAGAAGAGAGTGCGGTTTTCTGATCGGAGAGATGCAATGTTTGGGAAATGATATATCCATACAGCAATATGTATGTATATATATATATATATATTCGTTCCAATACCTATCCCGATTGAATCTAGTGTTTTTTCAATCCACAACCAGTTGTCTTCACCCACATGACCAAACCTACGCGACTAGCCTTGACTGTTCCTGCCGTGCCTACACCCCATGCGCGCAATCTCCTGCGCTGCCAACCCACTCCCTCCGCTTGTCTCCAAATGCACGAGATCGACTGAACACCTCCACCTCTGTTCGACTGCACAGCACGCCCGTCCCGCCTCCGTGCATCCAACCTCCCACACAAACTCGTCATCGGCCTACCCATTTCAAAACCGACATTCGGCTAGAAAAATCCGCACGCAAGACAAAGCTTGTGTGCCTGTCGCCTCTAATTTGCACCATCCCGTGCTTAGCCTTCCATGCCTTCGTCAGCTCCAACTCGCAGTTCCAATCCGTGAGTATTTTAGAAATCTGCCTCAAATGGATCGGAATTGTCATTCAAGGCGAAACAATATATAGTTTCGATTTAAAATACTCATATCTGCTTTGTGCATGCACGACCATTCCAACCGATTGTATTGTTATAATTAAATAAAAACTTACTTTGGCAATAAATGGACAGATAATCGCCAATATCAAGACCCACACCGTTGATCTTTGATTTGGGCGGGATAAATTTTCAATTCGAAGACTTGCACCATGATCTTTGATTCGGACAGTAGAATTTTTAATTTGAAGGTCTTGCGCAGTAGTATCTCTTATCCTGGCAGGATGATTTCTAATTTGAAAACCATGTGCAACCATATCTTTGATCCAGGCCATTAGAAACTACGACAAGTGTCATCCCAATTCCCCTTTTGGGGAGGGGATGTCGGGAGGTTTTTGAATTTTTTATGGAGTTATTGGATAGTAATTTGAGAATTTTAATAATTAAATAATTAATTCATTTTAAAATCAATTTAAAAATTTCATTGAATTAATTAACAATTAAGTAATCAAAATTTTAAAATAAATTTTAAATTTTATTAATTAACTATTTAATTGATCAATTTAAAATAAAATTAAAATCTCACATAATTAATTAATTAAATTAAAATCTCATAGTCAATAAAAGAAAGAGAAACCCGATTTTAATTAATTAGTTAATCAATTCAAATTTTAAAAAATCTTAATTAATTACTTAATCAATCCAAATTTTAAAATCTCATTTATTTAATTAGTTAATTGATTCTATCTTTACATATGAGTAATTTTAATATGATAGATGCTAACATGTACAAATATCATGGATCCACATAAGTAAAGATAGGTTTGGTGTCAAATTCCAGCCTTGCATCTTACCTTTCACTTCTACAATTGTAACTATAATTTAGTATAATCCTTTGAAAATCATTCTTACCATGTGGCTACCATAGCAGTTATGATAAGATGATCCTGTTGTTGACACTAAATACTTTGTATGTTATCAGAGCTATATGCATATTCCTTGTTTTTTATTGTATTGACTGATGCAAGTTCAATTATTTACGCAGATGTCAATTTATGCTAAAGGCGTTTCTGTTTTGATGCCTGGCCATGACGTTCCCACCTTCATAGCTCACCCGGTTCCTCCCCCTTGCCCACCTGAGGGAATAGCTTGGCCATCTCACAAACAGATCCCACTCAATGCCTGCTCTTGGGCAAATTATTAGGCGCAAACACCGGATGGAGAGAATCATCTGGATTTCTCTCTGTCTATAGTAAAAGCGCCGTCAAAGCATAGCTGCTATAGTAAATGTGCTTTGACTGCATTTTTACTGTAGACAGAGAGAAATCCGAATAATTCTCTCTATCATGTGTCTGAACCTAATAATTTCTCCTGCTCTTGTGGTTCAAGCTGAAGTCCTGCTCGAAATTTTTCTGGATGACGATGAAAACAAAGGTGCTGCTTTACCTGTGATTGCCTTGGGTTTTTTGTATAGCTATCTAATTAGATTCTCCTTTCTTATTGAGAAGTTCGTTCTGCTGCCCCTGCCACTTCAGAGTAGCGTTCAGTGTGGTGGCTTTGTTGAACAGTTATTTAGTATCAATAGTTAGTCACATTAAGGTTTCGATTGGGACGGTTTTTTTGTTGCTTCTTAAAGCACCTTTTTAGTATAAAAATTAAAAATTTATAAAAAACCGTCCCAAACGAAGCCTAAGAGTTAATAGGATCTTTCTTTGACTCCTTTGTTTTGAGAACTATTGTAAATGATCACTCTGCATTGTTCTGAGAAGGGTTCGTGCATCATCCATTTTAAGGGGAGATTGTCAGTTGTTCTGTAGTTCTGTGAACTGATTTTGTATTAATCCATTGCTCATTGTTATTATTATTATTGTTATTATTCTGCCCACTGGCTTTGGAGCACCCTTAGTGGTCTGAGTGCTGCTGTCCTGTGACAAATTATGACGCCTTCAGGGAGATAGTAGATCAATGCATCTTCTAAGTGCAATGAGGGCCATTAGCCCGTTAGCCTAGGCAAGGAGCCTCTTTGATCACTCCTAAAGGCATCTCCGACCGAAAATTTTATTTTTCACTTCAAAATACAGTGAAACTAAAAAATGCCGTGATTCATCTCCAATCAAACTTCATTTTGCACGCTTCTGTGAAAGTAACCGTCTTTCTCATCTTTCGTGTATTTCTTCGGCAAATCCAGTTGAGATAGAAAAATCGTGCATGTGAACTTTCACGCTTTTCTTTGACAAATCTGATTGAGACAGAAAAATCGAGTAGGTGAATAGTGTAATGTCAATATTGACATTACAATGTTTACTCGCAAGCAAATAACGGAAGATTTGGCGGTCAGTTGGAGCGATCGAATGACACCATACGTAGGTTTGACATTCGATTGGAGATGCTCTAAAGCTTGTCCAGGCAAGTGAAGAAGTTCATCAGATGGAAAAAAATAATAATAATAAAAAAAAGGTTCATCAGACGGAGTAAAGGGCTTTCAGGTCTACATCCTCTCGTTGAGAAAGCACTAAAATTTTAGTTTTTATAGTTTATGAAGTTATTGGATTTGCTTTGAATTTGAGATAGATGCAATATATATAGATAATTAGTACTATATATTAGTCTAATAGTAAATTTATATATGTAAGAAAGTCTCAATCATATCTTTGTAATTTTCTTGATAATTTTAGAGGGTTTGCACCTTAATTGTTACACCATTCAATGTAAGTTATATGTTGTTCATTAATTCTACTTATTCTTGATTTTTTCTTATGCTATGTGTTGTACATTCAAGCATCTTAGGGTGATGTTAGTTATTAATAATCATTCATGGTGCATTGCATTTTGGTTCCAATTGACTTATATTTTATATTTAATTTTGACAATTGATTTTGGGATTTGAAGATTATGAGGGAAGCATTTGTATGATCGACTAAGGCTTCGTTCAGAATAATTTTTGTACTATTTTATAAAACAGGGTTTTAGTACAAAAAATTTTTGAAAAAAAAAATGTACTAAAATTCTGTTATATAAAACAGTACGAAAGCTGTCCCAAACGAAGTGGAAAAAACAGTGAAGAAGTTGAGAGTTAGATTTTTCTTGATTTTATGTAGTAGTTCGTATAAGTAGGAGAGCATTTTAGTGGGTGTGCCCTTTAATGATGGACAATTGGAAAAGATGGTAGATAATATTGGATGTGCTTTGATTGGCAGAGCTATGAAGGATGATATTTGATGCTCTTTCTCGAATTGCACTGACATTTTCTCTTCATGTTGCTAGTCTCTCCATTTTATTCCCATTATGGTTCTGCAATCTTCTTCTTCTTCTTCTTTTCCCTTTCTCATTTGTTGCTTTTGTGCTCATTTTAATGGCACTGAATGTTATGAGATGGTGGTGAGACCTATAGTGTTTTATGATGCAAAATGTTGGTCATTAAAAGAGAAGCATAAATTTAAGTGTTAGAGAGATAATGATGCTTAGGTGGATGAGTGAATTTAAATTTAGAGATAGAATGTGAAATGAGTATATACGTAGAAATGTTGGAATAGCTCCAGTGGAGACCTATAATGTTTTATGATGCAGAATGTTGGTCATTAAAAGAGAAACATAAATTTAAGTGTTGTAGAGTTGATGATGCTTAGGTAAATGAGTGACTTTACACTTACGGATAGAATGTGAAATGAGTATATATGTAAAAAATGTTGGAGTAGCTCCAGTGAAGAGTCAAATTAAATGGTTTGGTCATATAAAACGTTGGCCTTCCGATGACCCTATTAAGAGAGTAAATGTATGAGATTCGGCCCATGTTAAGAAAAGTCGAGGTAGACCTAAAAAGACTTTGCTAGAAAGTATTGGAAATGATATTTTTTATTAGATTTAAATGAGAATTTCACTCTTAATAGGACATAGTAAAGCAAATGATTCATGTAGCTGACCACACGTAGTGAGATTAATGCTTCTTATTGTTGTAAGTTATAAATTATTAATATTATTCCATGACTACTTCAACATGAAGGACACAACCAAATTAAATATTTTTTATGATTAATCAAGAGAAAAAATATAATAATACATTACAAATAATTAATAAAATATTGTTGTTAATTAGAATAATTGTGAAAGCTTTCACATTTTTGGTTGTTTTGCTGAAAAACATTCATAGAACTAAATAATGCATCAATTAAAGTGCATCATTTATTTTCTTAAAATCAAATTATGAGTTTTAATAGATACCAAGGAGAGGGAAAATTTTTGCTCGGATGCTTTTGAAATTAATTACTGAAGACAAGCAATGCAAGATTTGATTTTTTTTTTTAATTGGAAAATTATAATTTGTAAATTTATTGTGAACTTTGGCTTCATAATGTTGTGTTTCCATGCAATTGACATATTGCCACACATTTCTTAATGTTTAATAAGGAATGTTTGAAGAAAAGAATTTCATTCTAATTTTTTTTTATATAATTTATTCATGATGCTATTTTTATTTGATTTTGGGTAGTTTACCTTTATGTCGTCGTCATGATATGATTTGTTTCAGTTTGTAAGTTGTCTAAAAATGTATCAAAAACTTGTGTCGACTTTCTCATGCATCTACAGCCCTCTGGGCTTCGAATGATGCATGTGAGCGAGGGTGATCCCTCAGAAGGGTGTCTTTTTGAATCTACGGAATAGATATCGAAAAAGATGGGATTTTTAAAGACGCATTATTTTACTTTCGAGGATATTTCTCTTGGTAAGTGATTGGAGAATCTAGGGTTTACATTAAATTTGTAGTAGAGATTTTACATAAATGCAAACTCTAATAATTGCTTATATCTCATGTGTATTACCAAAGAACATCCTCAATTTAGCATATTAAGCACATTTTGAATGTGTGATAATAAATTCTTGTTTTATTTTTAATGTGATTGCAGACTGATGATCAATTGTTGAACTCATTTTTGGATGAGGTTAACTAACCTAAAATAAACACAATTAATACCCAAATTAAACCAAAGTCAAATTCAATCCAAATTGAACCAAGATCATCTCAATTGGTAGTCGCATATTAGCTACCATTTGACCCCTCTGACTATATTAATAGTATGAGCATATCAATTTAATCAACCTAATCTAAGACTAAAACCCAATTCAAAATTTCAAACCAAAAGTCAAGGTCAAAACCTCTTATCACATAACTTGTTTTGAGTGTGTTTTTTTTGTTTTTTTCAAACACCTCAAAACTAAACCAAATGAGCTTCGAATCATGATTTATCAATTGTTTGTTGATTAGACATATCCCTAGAGCCAGCCCAAAAAAATTTGGAGCAATCAAAGCTCTCTAACCTCCAAAACTCCATTGAATTCCAACGGCTATAAAACCTTCAAATATTTATAGCTCATACCATTAGATAATTTTCTTATTGCTTTTTTAAGTAGTTTTTTAATACAATTTTTTTTTAAATTAGAAAATTTTGTATTAACAAGTTGCTTTAGAACGTAGAAAAATAATTTTCCTAAACGAAGCTTAAGATCAAATTGGATAAAATTTTGTTTGGAATAGCTTTTGACTATTACTTTTTCTTTGTTGGGAAGAAATTTTGTACTAAAAAATTAATTTAGAAAACAGTAAAAAAATATTCACAACGAAGCTTAAGATTAGATTTCATAAATATTGTTGCGGACTAGAATATATGCGGCGGTAGAGATAGAAAATTTTCGTCTGAGCGTTGTACGAATATCTAACACACACAAACAGAAGATAAAAGAACACCATGATTTTTATGTGGAAAACCTGAAAAAGGGAAAAAATCACGGGGCCACGCCCAGTTGAAAAGTTCCAATAGTGTAGTTTGAGATACAAGAGGCTGATTCGTCCAACAAGTTAGGACGATCAGATTACAAGGAGTTTCTTCTAAATTGAAATTCAGTTACAAAGTTGTGTAGAGTTCCGTCGTCACCAAAATGTCAGGTAGAATTCCGGCGTTATTCAGGCTGCGGGAAGAACTCTGACGATGGTCAAGGAGGAGTTGTTCTCTCCTCTCCTTCTCTTCTTCTTCTCTTCATCTTCTCTTCTTCTTGCTTGGGTCTCCTCTTATGAGAAATGAGGGATCTATTTATAATTTTTTTGGAGTGGCATAGCTCGTAAGTAGGTGTGAGATCAGGGGCTAATAGGGAGTGGCGGACGACTGATTTTGATTCCTTCGATTGTGCACCGTTCGTTGGACATTTGAAGGCTTTAGTGATGTCAGAATTCGGCGATCTTGGGCTCGTTGGATTCGTCTCGTCGAGCCGTTCGATTCGACTATAAGCTCGTTAAAGGAGACGTTTGATGACTCATATTGTGGTATGAGCTTTCCAACAGCACTTCGGGCTCTTGATTTGGGCTCATTTGGGCTCAGATTGAGTTGAATTTGGTGTCGTTGGGTTCGTATTTCCGTGACGCTCAGTTTGACTATAAGCTCACTGAAATCGGAGTTCAGATGCTCCCAGATTTAATTTTTGAAGTTTCCAACTTGATTTTTGCGTCAAGATCCGTGCTTGATCAAGATAATTTTATGATCAGGTATCAAATATTATTATTTATATAATTGATGCTCTTATCATTAAAAACTTAGCAAAATTAACACGGGGTGAATTAGTTTTTTTATTCTAAATATTCAAGTATATGACATAAATATCTTAGAATTTAACAATTTAACAGTACACTTTAAAAATTTAATTGCTACTTTTATAAATAAATCAAATATGATGGTTACAAATAAAATTATTTTCCTTTATTTTTTTCATCATATTACAGTATGTTATGCATGCCTTTAAAAGAAAATAAATTTTCTCTATATATTTTACATTACTTTTTAAATTTAATATTCCTATTACGGTAATTTCTTAATTCTGAAATTTACCAAGATGTTTATTTTAGTCGTAACATACATATTAAATTTATATTTACTTTTTTACCCCTAGTTGCACCTTGTTTATGCGGCTCATTTTATTTTTCCAACTAAGGGGCGGTTTGGTTGCCTGAATTAGGAGGGTAAAGTAAAATAAATAGATGTATTTACTAAATTAAATTATTTGATTAATTTTAAGCGGAACAAACGAAACTCATCCGATGCATTAGCGTGTAATAAAGATGCTATTTTGCGGGAATTAGAAACCCTATCGAGCGGGTTATAAATTCGCTCGACGATGGCGTCGTTGCTGTTCGGCTTCTTTGCTTCGCAGGTGGTGTAAGATTGCCGGAGAGGGTGGTGTAAGATTGCACGAGAGGGTTCTTCGGCTCCTTCGTTATTCTCAGACTTCGCGCGACCACGACGTTCCCTTTGTCCGATCGAAATTTGCGCCATTTGCATCGGAGGTAAGGACGGGAGCTCGCGTTAGCATCGTCGTTGCTGTTCGGCTTCATTGCTTCGCACGAGGTGTGAGATTGCACGAGAGTCTTCTAGGGCTCCTTCGTTCTTGTTCGGCTTTGCTCCTTCGAACACGTTGCCCCTGTCCGATCGGAAGTTCCGTCATTTCCATCGGAGGTAAGGACGGGAGCTCCAGTTCGCTTCCTCATTTCTGTTCGGCGTCTTTGCTTCGCACGAGGTGTAAGATTGCACAAGAGGCTTCTAGGGCTCCTTCCTTCTTGTTCGGTTTTGCTCCTTCGACCACGTTCACGTTGCCTGTCCGTTCGGAAGTTGCGTCATTTTCCATCGGAAGTAAGAACGGGAGCTCGCAATTTTTTAAGGTAAATTTAACCCTTTAACTCTCTCTTCTTCTCTGTTGATTTCTCTAGTTCAAGAAAATCAAGGTTTTTTGAACTTTGATTGCTGAAGCTTTACTGTTCAACTTCCTTACAATTTTCTCCCTTTTTTACCTGATAAATATTTTTGGAGAATTTTTGCTAGTCTCATGGCTTCACAAAATGGTATAATTGCTTCTTCTTCTTGTTTTATTACCATTGATTCAGGTTTCACAAAATTAGGCATAGACTATTACAATTTATTTACTAATCTTGTTAAACCAAATGATGTACTGAAATTGTCTTGTGAGCAGTTTTGAAATGTTGGCAAAGCTGTTGAAATCTCTATTACAAGTATAGGCCCCATGAAAAAAAGCCTAAATTGGTGCATATTGTTTAAACAGTTGCCTCTGTTAAACAAACAATATATCTGTTTGTTGCTTTTGCTTATCAAAAGAGAGAAAAAATTGCTAGAAACCGGCACATAAATTTCCTGAAGTAAAATATGCAAATAGTTACAACATTTAAATATCATCACAATCTTATATACTTACATATATTCTCAGACTTTACAGAAGAAGAAAAAAAAAAATCCTGCTAGCATTCACATTACTGAGTTGGAGTTTGCAATGGAAGCTGCAACCATATGATTCAGGCTTAACCAACAAAATCAATAAAACCACAAAGTAGAAATTACATGTAAAGTCATAATCAGCAAATCAGATGTTTATAAATCTAAAACCTGAAAAGTCTAAATGACACATCATTTCCATCATATGTTCTTCAAAGAGAAAGAGTATACAGTACTATCTACAGGATAGTAGTTTGAACTGTAAGCAAAACAGCCTATACTGACCTGTGCAACAACAAAAACAAGAAGATCCAAACCTAATCTGAAGCTCAATAAGCAATTAACTCGAGATACCGCAGAAGGGGCGCAGCGTAGGTGTGACGAAAAAGGGTATAGGTAAATTTCAATAATTATTTTATACAAGGATTGACTGATTGACACTTGAGGAAATTGCGGAAGATATGTAATATATATATATATATATATACACACACACACCCCTTGCAGAAAAAATTTTAAGCATGCTAAATCTTATCACATTTCAATCACAACATTCTACAGAAATAAATCCGTCTTCCATAATCCCACTTCCAACACCATAAAAACTATAGCATAGCAATCAGAAAACAATGCTCAACCCAATCGACGCAATCAACGATGGCAAAAGCGACAGAATTAGCGGAATCGGAGACCGGATGCCAAATATAAAAAAGAAACTGGAAGAAGAAAACAAAAAACAAGAAGAAGAAGAAGAAGAACATACAAGGACATGACAGAGACAAGATTAAGGCCGCGAAGCGAGAAGAACGCTAGAGAAATGCCATATTCTTTCTCTCTCTGTTGACAATGGCGTCTTCTTACGGATACGAAGGGATCTCATAAGCCGGGAAGAAAGAGAGAAAAGAGAGCGCGTCATGCGCTCGGTTCCGGTTTTCCTGGTTCATTGATTGAATTTTTATATAATAGCTATTAGGAGGACAAGGTTGCATGTTAGCTAATTAGTTTTTTCCTGGTTCATTGATTTGAATTCTTTTATTGCAAATATTTCAGAATCTAAAATTTATTATCTGGCTATTGGCTCTAATTTTTTAATTTTAAAAATGTATTTTGATGAACGACCTTTCCTGTTTATAGCGTTGCATTTGTTTCAGAGTGATGAAGATGTATTTTGCTAATTGCTTTTTATTGTAGAGAGTTGCATTTGTTTCAGAGTGATGAAGATGTATTTTGCTAATTGCTTTTTATTGTAGAGAGTTCATCGACTAGATTACTATGGGGAGCAATTGCAGAGATCATAGAGTCTATTTTCGAAGAATGATTTCTTCATTGACTTCTGCAACTGCTCAGGTGCCAAATTCCTCAACTTCCAAAATTTCAACCCCACCACCACTTCCTTCCGTTCTAGCAACAGAATCTTCACCTCCCAAGGCATCACCATCTCCACCTTCACTCAGCCATCCACCTCCATCTTCTAAATCTTCCCCACTACCATCATTAGTTAATGGTTCCTCTCCTCACCCTCCACCATCACCTAAAGATGGCCCTACATCCCAATCACCACCATGGCATGAAGTCAATACACCACCTTCAGCTCCTTCCACCAATTCCATGAGGAGCTCAGAAGAGTACAAGCTCAATGACCATGTGAATGTGCAATTGATTGTTGGAGTTGCAGCCGGTGTAGGGTTATTTCTTATTATCATGACCATATTGTGCATATGTTTCTGCAAAAGAAAGAAGAAACCACACAACTCGATGAAGTACTATGCTGATCCATCTGGACCAGAAGGTTTGTTGATTTATTTGAAATACCAGGCTGATTTGTTTCAGAATGTTGTGGAGATTTCTATCATAAAATTAGTTATGTTATGTTATCAATTTAAATATTATAGAAACTTGTTGATTGAATTATCTCTGACTTCTTATTTGAGTTTTTAAAATAATTACGGTGTGAGGGTTCCAAAATGGGGGTACAATGTGCTTGTTGAATGTCATCTTATAAATTATTGAAAGGAAAATTGCACAAGTTATTTTCCATATACTTGTTTTAAAGTGTTGAAGGGACATAATTATGATGAATTTTTCTAGATCTACACAATGAAAATATGGCATGGATTTCCTATCATTTGAAAAAAAAACAAACAAACTTATTAATGATATGCAGTAACTTCCTTACAATTATGAGATTCTCTTATAGCCTCATTGTTTACTTGGAAATTTAAAGCAAGATATTTCCTAATTTCCAATATACCATTGAAAGCTATTACATTTTCTTCCTCAAACAAGTCTAAACAATTGTTTTTTTTTTCTTGATTTTAAGTCTTTCTTTTTTCATTGAAGGTGGAAATATTTATGTATGCATAACTAGGTAACAATTTAGAGAAAAAAGGATACTAAGGTGTAAGAAAGATTGTCATTATAACTGCAAAAAGTATAAATTGCATCAACTTTTAGTTAGTTGATGTGTTAGTTCATGAAATATAAATATAGTGAATTACAGTTCAAATTTCACATTTAAAAACTTTTAGTTGTATACTGTTTGAGTTATTGTTTTGAAGTATCACTTGCTTCTACTTTCAGATAGTATGAATTACACTAGTGGACTACCCCCAAAATGGCACAATGGACAACAGGGAATGGCTTATGGTGTGAAGGTTCAACCACATGGTCAGCCTGCAGGAGGATGGCACCTACAATCACCCTCTACGATGATGAGCAGCAGTGAGATTAGCTTAGTTTTCTCTGGACAAAATGCCCCTCCTCTACCCCCTCCATCTCCTTCATTAGCCTTGGGTTTCAACAAAAGCGCTTTCACCTATGAGGAACTTGCAGCTGCCACCAATAGTTTCTCTCAGGCCAACCTCTTGGGGCAGGGAGGCTTTGGTTATGTACATAAGGGGGTTTTGCCAAATGGAAAAGTGATTGCTGTTAAGTCTCTCAAGTCAGGAAGTGGGCAGGGAGAACGAGAGTTTCATGCTGAGGTCGATACCATCAGTCGTGTTCACCATCGCCATTTGGCTTCTCTTGTTGGATATTGTATGGCTGGATCACAAAGAATGCTTGTCTATGACTTTGTTCCAAATAAGACTCTTGAATACCACCTACATGGTAGGGTTCTTATGTTGTATACTTTTGAATTACTTATCTTTACTTTCTTAAATTTTTAATGTGGTTTCTTTTGCAGGGAAGGGGCTTCCTGTAATGGAGTGGTCCACCAGACTCAAGATTGCAATTGGATCAGCTAAGGGCATTGCCTACTTGCATGAAGACTGTAAGTTTTTGTAGTGAACTATGTATAGAACATGCTTCTTCCCTTTCTCTTTATTTTAGCTATTGCTAGATGATATAGTTTCTATAATCTAACTTGTGGCTTTAATTTTATCCACATGAAGGTCATCCAAAAATCATCCATCGTGACATCAAATCTTCCAACATCCTACTAGATTTCAAGTTTGAAGCACTGGTAGGTTGATCAAGTCACGAGGTAACATGATTACCTTATTTATTATATTTTTTGTTTTATTTTAGCTATAAAAAAGGTGGAAATACATCCAAAATACTTTAGCCAAAACTTATAATTATTAAAATTATATATCAGGGCCAAGAACCTATCTAGAATAAAGCCAAATTAAAACCATGGTGCTTGACCAGGCAAAAGTTATAAAAAAATAAAGCTCCAACAACATGATACCAAACATAATAAGAAGGTTCCATTCATGGCTTTGTTCTGCATATCTAAAATTTTTAACAATGCCGCTCACAGCTCCATTTTCATCATGCTCATTGAAGCTTGCCTATGCTCGCCAGGACTTCGCCATCATCAACTTGGCTTCTATCAATTGCTACAAGTTTAGCAGTTCTCACTAGCACGAAGCTCCTTAGCCCTTTTTCCATTGACTCTATAATAGGAAACACTTGTAGATTTCAAATATTTCCTATCAATCTTCGGAAATCGGAAAACAGCGAGAAACAATTCCAAACTCCAATGAAAATCAAGGAAAGCAGTAAATTTTATTGCAATAAATCAACTAACGGAAGAAAATAACAAGAGACAAGTGATCCTCTATTCAAGAGGAGGATCATCTCTCCCAATCTCCAGACAAATCTAGAGCCCAAAACCTAAACTTAAGAGATCCCAAAATCAGCCAAATTCAAGATGCCCTAACCCTAGGAAAACAAAGTATTTAATACATACAAATCAAAAGGAAATCTCTAAATAGTTCCTACATTCAATTTCCGTACTAAACTTCCTCAAAATTCCTTCCTAAAATGGCTCCCGTAGACCTGCGGCTTGCGCGACCTGTACAGGAGGCGGAACTCCTCCGCCCTTTTGCGCTCGTAAGCCAGTCCCGCTTGGACCGATCTAACACTCTTCTCATCCATTGATAGATTCTCCCTTCCATTGCCCAAGCTGCATGACTATGAGCTCCGAAAATTCGGCCCTGGCCTCCTCCCGTTGTTACTTTTTTCTTTTGGGGGAATTTTAACGGAATTAAGTTCTGGGGTCAATTTTGGAAGGCATATGAGTTTGCAGATAAGACACTACCCAGAGATTTCGCCCTCATTTTGTGAGGACTTTATGATCTGAGTTTTAGTTTCCTATAGACGCAAGCCCCTATAGTTAACTACCCCTCCCGATAACGAGAGAGAACTTTTGATTAAGGCTAGTCGCCAATCATATACGAAGAATATACGTGTTATCTGGCACATAGTAGCAGCATGGGCTTAGGTAGGGTTTGAGAATTGATATTTAAAAATGAAAATTTTACCATCTTTCACTTAAAACGGATGGTGGGGGAATAGATGATGGACTCGATCAAGATCTCATGGTTCTGTCGTCCTGGGCCATCGTGGTCCCTGGTCTACTTAGTCAAAGGAAATAGTCGACCCAACCTGACAGAAGGATCCTTGTCGGTAACCATGGGTTGCTTCGTCCAAGGATATCTTGTAGACATGGGGCGAATATTTGTTTAAGGGAACAAATTTAAATCTACCTTAGCTAACAAATGGCTTTGTGCCATATTGATCATATCCTATTGATTAATATCTCAAGAATTTGATGTCACTAAGGAACGTATTAGCTCTGGCCATAATTGGTATTTTGTGGTGCCATTTGTCGGCAAAACCACTCGGTTTAGAGGGCACCGAGTCATAACCGTTTATCCGGCAGTGCCATTTAGCGGCAAAATTGCCGGTTAAAGGACATGTATCACGTCTTTATTGGTAGGAAATTGTTTGAGAATGGATCTTAGTGATATTTTCGACTAAGCATTAATTTTTTGTGAGCCGAAGCACATTTCAATTTGTCCACCTTGACAAATTATTGCGGATGATGGATTAATTTTTCTTTAAGTATTTTATGGATTATTTCAATTTTAAATATTTTGTATTAGGATGATTTTTGGAAAATTTGGATTTTGGGGATATTTGAGCATTTGGGAGGCATCTGAAAGTATTTGAATCACCCCTCCGGTTGAGATCTATGTTCAATGCGGCCATCATCGGGATGACTTTAAAGTCACTTATATTTTCATAAGAATTTGAATTTTGTGGGAGTTTGGAAGCATTTGAAATGGTTGGAGTTAACCCCTCCAGTTGAGATTTTCATTCAACATGGGCATCATCGGGGTGTAAGGGGTCATTTCCATTTGAAATATTTGCTTTTTGTGGGTGAACCTTGTCAACTCTGTCGTGCCGTCGACAGAGGATAGAATTTTTCGTAGGTTTTATTCCTTTATTAGTGAATTCTCATTGTTATAGGGCTTAAAGACTTAATATAAATGTATTAAGACAAATATACCGGTCGTCACCATCTTATATTTATTTGATGGTTCGAACCCTGTCGACTCCTATTGATCCGCATAGAATGATCGAGTTCAAACTTGAATTTACTTATTGACCCGTGCAACATCCCTAGACATGAGGGGTGTACTTATAACACGTTTGTCGGGGCCCATGCGGGTGTATGATTGCACTTACCCCTTTTGTGTATATATGTGTATACAAATTACAGTGCATGTGCAGTGGTATTTTGAGATATTTTAGTTGTGCATGTAACTGTCATTTGAATGCACACACACTCTATTTGAGAACTTATATACGTCTTCTGTCCGCTAATACAAGTGTTGCGGATCTGATGGCATGTTGTAGCACTTTTTGGGTTTAGTTGTTTGTTGCTTTGCACAAGTAGACTATCGTGTTCATTGCACATGATGGTGGACAAATCATCATGATCATTCCATGCTTCTTATTATCCCTTCTCTAGACAATTTATTGGGCATACTATCGATTATTCGTCATTCATAAGTGACCTTTCAATCTTCATCACTTGTAGCCGAGTGAACGTATTTATCTATATATTAGTACTTGGCAACGGGGTTGAGTTGCATTCATTATTAATTTCTTCATCCATATTTGTAGGATAATTCATCATACTTGTAACATACCCAGTACCACGACTTACGAGCACAATCACTATATCAATTACAAATTTTAGGTTGTTCGTAAGGGATCTACCATCCATGCAATATCTCTACTACTGTTGTTTGTAGGTAGATTCAGCACATTTTATATGCATATTAACATATACTGCTGAATGGATTGCATTCATCAATAATATCCCCATGTATGTTGATTGATGATTTGTTACATTTGCTTGTGTATCTTTTAGTAACTGTGACAGCCGTTGTTTGTATCCACGAGATATCTAATGTAAGTTGTAGGGGGTCGTTGCTTTCACATCTTAGCCATCATCATCACTCATAAGTGGGCTAATGTGTTTACTACGTTTCTTATAGAGAAGCTAGATCCCTCCACCTCCCTCATGAATAAATTGTATCATTCATTAGAGACCCCATTTTGAAGCAAGTGGTGTCCAAGGTTTTTTGTAGCGGCCTTCCTTATTCATACATGAATCCTCTGGTCATTGCTCCTGAGTGAGATATATGAATCCTTGCTTGTTCATTTGAATACCAAATTTCTCCACTTGTATGGGACAAATGTATTTACTTGTATGTATTTCAGTGTTTGTGAAAACTGTTATATATATTTGTGAGATAGATACCTATTAGCTATCATTGATAGTAGGCGGACTATTTTCCTTGTGACTTCTCTACTTTGCTTATGGATATGTTGCATTCATTGTGTATTGCTCCCCCTATTAATTGCAAGCGGATTGACAGATTTGTTTGTGAATCCCTTGACATTAGCTACAAACCAACCCTCATTTTAATCTTCTTATCACTTGCAAACAAATTGATCGTGTAAGTTCTTTGGCCTTGGGGATGGTTTACAACATGTGTAGGGACTTAATATTCAACATTTGTTTAATATCCACATTTCATCGAGCATGAAGACTTGTGAAAAAACTCTATGTTATTAGTTGTAAACATATCACCGCATTCTTCATTTGAACATTGCATGCCGGTTGATATTCACTTGAATTCATCCACATGTGTCACATTGTTATGTTTATCGTATATCAAACCCTTATAGTGGCATTTGATTGCATGAGTCTTTATCATCATTTGTGAGTAAATGATGTTTGTAGGTTCTATATTCATTGCAAGTCTTTCTTTTTATCACAAGTTCCGTTTATGTTCTTTTGCATTCTGTTCATTTAAATTCGAGTTTCATGTAATGATGTTCATGATCATTACTTAGGTTCAAATTCATTTGAATTCTTTTGTTGTCTTGTAAAGTTCAAGTATGAGTTCAATTTGAGCTCATGTCCACAATATTTAGTTCATTTGAATTTGAGCTTAAATACACTCACATGTGGTTCGTTCAAGTCATGCTCAAGTTCATTTAAATTCATCCTTTTGAGTTCAAACTTTTCTTCCTCAAGTTTGATTTTAAATCTTTATTTATTTATTTATTTAAGTTTGAATTTAGTCCCTTTGTTGTTCAAAATAAAGTACTATGCCATCCAAAATTTGCTCAAGTCTTTGTGCGTTTCAGTCCAAATTTCGGCAGCCTCCCGGTGTCTCCCCCGTTTAGGGGAAAAACTAAGATGCAACCTTCCCCTTCGCGCTACACGAGCGCTTCAGGTAGATGTCGGGTGACACCGCGGTTGCTTTTCTTTATCCCCCAAGACGCAACATGAGCGCTTAGAGGTCTCGAGCACATGTTAGAAAGAAGCACAGTGATTTCCCCACATATGAGTACTTAGTTTTTGTCCCCCTCACCCTACATGAGTGCTCCGGGGATCACCCACCTCGTCGCTAGTGTCGCACCGGTTTCCCTCCCTACTACGCTACGTGAGCGCGTAGGGGGTTTGCCGGCTCGTCGCTAATGTTGAGAACATGATTTAAGTTAAGGAGGTTATACCTTGGTGGTTGGCGAGGTGATGGTGGCACGTAGATCAAGGCAAAAGATGAGTCTTTTTTTTGAAAATTTTCTCTTATATAGACAAAAAGAGGGAGAGAGATTACTATGGGTTTTGGCTAAGTTGAATCGGGTTGAGTTGAGTGAGGTAGATTGGGCTCGATTTGGATATAAGCAAAGTGGCAACAGGTTTGATCAGGCTTAGTGTGATCCGACTATTTGAGAAGTGGACATGTCGGATTAGGGCTTGGGTAGAGAGAGCTCCATCAGGTTCGGTTCAATTGCGAACTGGGGAGGGACAGGAAGGAGGAGCTCGGGTATAGGTCCTGGCATCGACGAGTAGGGAATGAGGTTGGATGCAGGTTGGTCTCTCTCTCTCTCTCTGGATCGAAGGGTTGCGCAAGGAGATCGGTTGGGGCATCAAGTCTAAGGCAGAGGATGAAGATGGATGGAGATGCCAAGTGGAGGAGGGGACTTTGACCGGAGTTTTGGCGTCGGGTTACTGGTAGGGGTGTCAATTTCGGGTCACGGGTCGGGTTCAGGTCGAGCCCGGAAGTAACCCGGCATCATTCGGGTCAACCCGAACCCAACCCGTTTTTGCAAACAGGTCGATTTTTCAGACCCGAACCAGACCCGCTTCGGGTTCTGGTCAACCCGACACGACCCGTTATCCACTGCAAGCGGGCAGCGACGCGGTGGGTTCGCTGTTCGCAGCGGGACGTGGTGGGCAGACGGGCAACGGCACGGCGGGCAGGAGGGCAACCGCGGAGGGCAGATATGCAGTTCCGCGGCGGGCAAGCGGGCAGCTACGCGGCGGGCAGACGTGACTCGTGGACTCACAGTGCGACGAGGGCTGCTTCGGTCAGGCCCAGTCAGGGCGGGTAGCAGGTCATTCCGAGTCATCGGGTTTTCGGGTCAACTCGAACCTGACCCAATTTTGCAAACGTGTCGAAAACCTTAACCCGAACCCGACCCGATTCGGGTCAACACGAACCTGTAATTTTCGGGTCGGGTTCGAGTCGTGTTTTCAGGTCGTGTCCAATATTGACACCCCTAGTTGCTGAAGGGAATCGAAGGGAGAAGCCTGGCTTCAGCTAGGAGGTCGTGGCGATCTGCTAGTTGGAGAAGAAGGGTGTTGGGATGGAGTTCAGTAGATGGATTAGGGTCGACAGGGATGAGGCGCTGAAGGTCGGGTATGGAGATCTACTAGCGGGAGAAGAAGGGCGTCGGCACGGGCTCGTATGGAAGAAGCGAAGAGGCAAAACCAACAAAGCTTTGGTTTCGCTCTAATTTTAAAACCGCAAATGGGAGTGCAGTCGAGGCGGGATTTCATGCAGGATTCGCGGGTTCGACAATCCGAAGTATGCGACGTTTCAGCCGGATTCGTAGGATTTATTCAGGTATTTCGAGGGTGCCGAGTTATTTAAGCGGGAATTCGGCAGAAATCTTAGGATCTCCTGGGCAGTTATTATAACAGGTAAAAGCTCTCTTTTTTATTTTTATCTGTCTTAGGGTCGACAATGACCAATGATACTGATTGATGTTATATTTAATGTTCTACTAACGACATTGATCGATATGTTCTTGCTTTCATAAATATTAGAGTTTTCATGTAAAATAATGAGTTGCTTGCTTAAATGCGTACCTTTTCAGGTTTCTGATTTTGGATTGGCAAAGCTTTCATCTGACAATCATACTCATATCTCGACCAGAGTCATGGGAACGTTTGGGTAAAGCAAATATCCATTCTTAGGCTTCGTTTGGGACGGCTTTCTTACCGCTTCATAAAGCAGCTTTTTAGTACAAAAATTAAAATTTTTATACTAAAAAGCTGCTTTAAGAAGCAGAAAGAAAGTCGTCTCAAACAAAATCTTAAACAATTTTAAAATCAAAGAAACTCATGTGCTAATTCAACAAATTTTCCTGTACGAATAGATATCTAGCACCAGAGTATGCATCCAGTGGCAAGCTAACTGAGAAATCTGATGTCTTCTCCTATGGAGTGATGCTTCTCGAAATCATAACTGGGAGGCGACCAGTTGACAGCTCACATACATTTATGGAAGACAGCTTAGTGGACTGGGTTAGTTTAGTTGGCTCATTTTCTGGAGCTATTATTCTGTGCGGACACCGGACGGTTCTCTCATCCGGTTACGCATTTGGTACCGAGCGATGTCGAGCACGGTACAATTTTGGGGTGATGTGACGCATTTTTATTGTCCGGACTCCGCATAGAATAATAAATCCATTTTATGGTGGCATATACAGAAGGAAGAATTCTGACCGTAAATATTCTCTTATTCATTAACTCAAACTTAACTGTTTTCTTATAGGCAAGGCCAGTTCTTTCCCAAGCACTAGCTGATGGGAATTATGATGATGTGTCTGATCCTCGTCTTAATGGTAATTATGACCCCATGGAGATGGCACGTATGATTGGAAGTGCTGCTGCTTGTGTTCGTCATTCTGCAAGGAGGCGCCCAAAGATGAGTCAGGTATGCATGCTTTGCACCCATGGTTGAAGATTTCACCTATATCGTAAAGAAATACTAATAAAATTATATTTTTATTCTTTTATAATATTTCTTTCCCAATTTTATTACAAATGTTGGCTTATTCAATAAGTTTGGCAAATTTGTCAGCATGTATAAAAACCAATGGACTATGTAGGATGTCTTAGGTTCTAGGATTAACTAATGTAAATTTTGCATGATACACATAAGAAACACATAAAATATAATAATTCATAATTTTTCAAATTTATAATTTATGCAAAGATTAATTTATTTTGATGCAAAAATAAAAAAAGAATCTTTCATTCATTCTAAATGATAATATAGAAATATTCAAAATTTTAAATTTTACAAGGAATCTAAGAATGAATATAAATTCTACAGTGATGAAGATTCACGCTGAAAAAATAAATCTGATATATATCAAACTTGTTCAGATCTCAATTACACATAAATTAATCACTAAATTATTTAGAGGACAAAACAATAATAGAAATCACAAATTGGAATGCCAAAGCCTCGTGTTAAGGAGAGTTGTCATTTGGATGTTATCATTGAGACTTGCAGAGAGCTTAAAGAATTCACATCTAATAACACAATAATTGAAAATAATAATAATTTAAGTTTTTATTCAATCATTCTATGAATTTTGCATATGTTGAAGGTCCTATTTAAAACCAAAAAGACCCTAAATTAGTAACTTCTTTTTAAGTTTAAAGATCTTGTTAAATATTCCAAGTTTTAAATAAACACACTTTAATTCTATCTAGAACAACAACTTTCCAACTCTAATTTCAGCTAAATAGCAAACTTCCACTTTACGAATCTCGTTTCTAGCAATATCTAATAATTCTTCATCATTGTTACAATGTCGTAAATTTTCAAATTATACGTAAAATGCCCACGCCAAATGAATAAGGAAATAAAACAGTTGACTTAGCCACCAATGGTGTCGTAGAAAGGAAAGGGAAGCAATCAGACAAAGTCACGTGAAGCACTCAACATATTGCCAAAGTCAAAGCACGAAAATCGGTGAGGATAGTAGTGACTAATCTATTATAGCTAGAACCAAGTAGGAAAAATATAGGAAAAATTTAGTAACATCAACTATACATCTCCAAAAATCAATGATAGTAGCAACAAAAATCTTCCAAAACAATGGTTGAATAGTAACTGAAAAGATAATAGAGGAAATCAATTATGATTTGAAATGATGAATCGAATATAGCTGAACTAAGGAGTCCAAGAGCTATATTGAAACAATTTATAACAGTAAACTAAACCTAATGAGATAATCAAAACATTTGAGAACACATCTAGTTTTCATAGTCATCAACATCATAGACACTTTACAACCAAAATCAAAACTAGAAAACTAAATACTAAATAGTATACATAGAACCAATTGAAATAATATCAATGCACATTATTTGCATTTTAAATAAATACGAACTTCTAAATTTGCATCATTATGCTCGGCTTAAAACAATTCGACTTTGACAAATTAAGTATTTGATATTTTTCATGCAAAGTTGGGCAAAATTATCACTCTTATTACAAGATAAGCTACGAATCGTCATAAATAAGTCTTTTATTCCAATTTAACCATCCACAAGTATTAGTGGACACAATTCTTGTATCTAAAGATAGCTCTTGGAACAAGTTGAGTTGATTTGCCTTGTAATTGTTGGATATAAATTCACGAGGAAATGAAAAGAGTGAATAATTCACAATATTGGTAGTTGATTCATGAAATATAGTTAGATTAGATATATTTAAGTCCAACATAATATTAGATATATTTAAGTCCAACATAATACCAAAGCTTCCCAATATCTCTGATTCATATCATTAAAAAACGTTTAATTATTATAATTTACTCTTCTTTTTACCAATACCCTGATCTAGTAGATGATTTTAAAAGTATTCATGGGGGTTATGTCTTTAGAGCGACTAATGAAGGTGGTAAGACTATATTAGATTTTTCTATAACTTATAATTTATAATTGCCGACCCCACATAGTGGGATAAAGGCTTGATGTTGTTGTTGTTATAATTTATAATTACTAATATCTTATTTAAGAAAAGAGATGAAAATTTTATTACTTATAAGAATGGATATCATAAAACTCAAATTGATTATTTTTTTATAAGAAAAATAGATTGTTTAAATTGTAAAGATTGTAAAATTATTTCGAGTGAAAGTTTATGTATCTAATATCGCTTATTAGTTTTAAACTTTATGATGAAAGGACAGAAGATAAAAAATAAAATAAATCATTGTTTAGAAGTTCAAATAAACAAAGGTGGGTGTGATACTTTGCTAAATTTTTTTAGAAGATGATATTCAACAAAGGTGGGTGTGATATTTTGCTAAATTTTTCAATGAAGATTATGAGAATGTGATTGACTTTAGTAACGTTAGTATCTTAAATGAAAATAAAGATTTTTGTTTTCATTAGCGTATTAGTAAAATCAAAGTTAATGAGGCTTTAAAGAAAATGAAGCGTGGAAAAGCTGTTGGACGTGATAATATTCTAATAAATGTGTGAAAATGCTTAGGAGATGAAGGAATTTTATGGTTTACTAAAGACTAAAAAGATGTCAGATGAGTAGAGAATGAGTGTGTTTATTCTTATTTTAAGAATAAAGGTGATGCACAAGATTATGCCAATTAGGATTCATGCCAGGTAGGTCTAATATGGAAGTTATACATTTATTGACAGGTTTGATGGAGAAGTATAAATAGAATAAGGAGGATCTACATATAATTTTTATTGATTTAGAGAAAACATAAGATAAAGTTCCAAGAAAAGTGCTATGAAGAGTTCTACATAAGAACGAGGTTAATAATGCTTATATTCAAGTCATTAAGGATATATATATGCAGGAGCTGTTATTTGTGTTCAAACACAAGATGGTTTGACCAAGTATTTTCCTATTTCAGTTGGATTACGTCAAGGATCAGCCTTAAGCCCATATCTTTTTCTTTAGTCATGGATGTTCTCACTAGACATTTGCAAGCGATTGTACCCTGGTGTATGCTTTTTGTTGATGATTTTCTCCTTATCGATAAGATTAGAGAGAGAGTTGAAGGTAAACTTGAATTATTGAGGTCAACCTTAGAATCTAAAGACTTTAGTTTGAGTAGATCTAAAATTGAATATATAATGTAATTTTAGTAATAATAGTTCTTGTGGGGAATTGTGACTTTGGGTGATCAAGTCATTAATAAGAGTACATGTTTTAGATATATTTGGTCTGTTGTTTATAACAATGGTAAAATAGATTGAGATATTATTAGTAGAATTCAATTTGGATGGTTGAAGTGGAGGAATGCATCGGGCTTGTTGTGTGATAGAAAAGTCCCACTCAAATTTAAGGGAAAATTCTATAAGATGGTAGTGAGACTTACAATGCTTTATCATGTAGAATGTTGGTCATTAAAAGAGAAGTATAATGTTAAATTAAGTGTTGCATATATGAGGATGCTCAGGTGGATGAGTGTCTTTACTCTTAGAGTCAGGATACAAAATGAGCATATACGTGAAAAGGTTGGAGTTGCTCCAATAGAAGATAGATTAGGAGAGTCACGTTAGATGGTTTGGTCACATAAAAAGGCGGCCTTCCAATGACCCGGTTAGGAAAGTACATGTATTAGATTTGACTTATATTAAGAAAGGTTGAGGTGGATCTAAAAAGACTTGATTAAAAAATATTAGAAATGATCTTTTTTTTTAAATTTAGATGAGAATTTGACTCTTAATATGACACAATGGAGAAAAAGGATTCATGTAGCAGACCCCATATAGTAGGATAAAGACTTGTTGTTGTTGTACCCTGATCTAGATCATGTAAATCATGCAAATGCCATGAAGCAAGTAATGAGAATATTAGAGTGCCAACGTTCATCCTAATTGATAAAATAATAATTTGTAACCTATTATTATTTGGTGACATGATAAGATGAATTGAATAGAAGTAAACCTCACAAACATGAAATGCATGTACAGACAAATACCTCCTTAAATTTAATGCTAATCAAAATTACTTGAATATTAGCTATATGATGAGTTATGCACTTTTAGATTTGACGAGAGAGAGAATTTTAAAAGTTCAAGTTCTTCCGATTCCAAAAAAGATTACTTAAACTTACATTGTGCAAATCACAGATTGTTCGTGCATTGGAGGGTGATGTATCGCTCGAAGATTTGAACGAGGGGATGAGGCCTGGGCAAAGCACGCTTTTCAGCTCAGGCTCCGACCACGATACTGATTTATATGCATCGAACATGAGGAGAAATAGAAGGCCAGCAATTGCTAGCCCAGAGTACAGTGGAGATTGCAGTGGATCGATTGCCGAATATGGACATGGCCGCGAACCTTCGATATCAAGCAGCGAGGGAGCATACTCCGACGAACTCGATCCCGTCGGTAACAGGCACAGAATTCCATCGCTTTGAGCTTTTCCTTAAATGAGAGCAAAGGTTGTGTCGCCAACCAGTTTAGGGTTTGTAAGAGCAAGGAAAATTTTGTACTAACGTGTTTGTTGGGGAGTTTGACATGGCTTCCTCGATCATTGCGGGAAGTAAGTGCTTATCTTTGTTTTTTTTCTTCTTCATTTTTTGATTCATATGGACATTCAAATATTCAATGTTTGTTTTATATTGTTTCATAACAAAAATGAAGGTTATAGAGTAAAATATTAAGTGTTTTTTGTTTTATTTTATCTTATATTTATTGTTAGGGTATTCTAATATAAAATACATTAATATGGGTTTCAAAATTATTGAATTTTCAATCATATTAACATAATTCAGAATATCATATAGAACGCTAATTGTAGCTCATTTTCAAAAACTTTGAAGCTTGTATGGATGCGTTTTGAATTAGGATATCTTGATATAATTAATTGAATTTGACTTTGTTGCCTTGCTTGATTGGTAATGAGTTATTTGTAATATGATGGTCAAGATTGGATGATCATATTTATATTAGAATCTTAAGATTTGTAATGACGAACATGTGTTTTATTAAAAGTCTACTAATAGATTGATGCGACTTTTAAAGCAATCTAATTTAAGAGGTAGGAAGATATCATTTAATTCGACTCTTTTTTTTTTTTTTTGGGACATTTAGGCCATTTAAGGCAAACTCACACACACAACGCATACACATAGACTCGAACTCTGAACCTCTTAGTTGAAAGCCTAAGCTCTCAACCAATAGGCCAAGGAGAGTTGTGTATTCAACTCTTTTTGATCAATATATGAATCTTGACATCTTTGATCAAAAGGTTAAGCTTACTTTATAGTGATGTTTTAGGGTCATATTAATTGTCTTATAAATTTTGAATTCTTCTCTGAAAATATCCAAAGATATCCCTTTGTCATCTCAAATAAACTACTTTATGCTCTAAAGCATCCTTTCTTTCAAGGTGGAAGTGATTAAATTGTGACTCTTCTAAAATAATGGTCTGAATTCAAACCTCTGTGTTTAATTAAGGCTTTATTTGAGACATTTTTTTATTACTTATTAAAATAGTCTTCGAATACAAAAAATTAAAATTTTGTACTAGAAAGTTGTTTTAAGAAGCAGTAAGAAAGCCATCCCAAATGGAGTCTAAGGCTTTGTTTGATATAGTTTTTTTTATAACTTTTTTAAAGAATTTTTAATATTTTTTTTAACTACAAAATTTTTAGTAAAAAGTTTATAAATTAATAAGAAAGTTGCTCCAAATAAAGCCTAAGTACAAGACATTAAGATGGATTCCAAACGAACCCATTTCAGCTATTCTTTGCATGGAAAATTTTGGATTGATCAGATGATATTGCCCAAACTTAATATTTTTGAAGGCCAAATTATGATGATGATGAAGGGAATCTATCAAATCATTGATATTGAGCTAATTAGAAGATAGAGGTTTTATTTGGGATAATTTTTTTTAGTATTTTTTGTTGTATTCAAAAAATCTTTGTGCAAAAAAACTACTGTAAAATGTAGTAAGAAAACTGTTCCAAAAAAAAGAGTAACGCTTCGTTTGGAATATTTTTTTTAGTATTTTTAAAGTAGCTTTTGAGTAAAAAATTTTTAATTCAAAAAATTTTTATACTGAAAAATTATTTTAAAAAATACTAAAAAAAATGTCACAAATGAAGCTTAAAACACACTGAGCTCAGGATATATATAGTGTCTAAGAGCCTTCTAAGAGAGAAAATCCCCAAATTGACTTGCCCATCAAACTCTACTAACATAACGTTGAAAACACAAAACTTGGGGAAGATGATTTAAAATGAGACAAATTTCATTAAAAAAACTTTAAGAAATTTTTTTTTTATCAAAATGAATTTCAAAACTATTAAACTTTGGTTCATATAAATAAAATATAAAATTTAATCAATCTCTTATATATTATATTTATCTTAAAATAAAATTAATTATTTTGAGATTAATTATGAGTAAACTTTGATTGAAGAAATCCCGACTTAGAGTTATTTGGGATGGCGGCATCATTTTGTAAAAAGCTATAGTAAAGAAGAAGCTTTTCATTAGAAGCCAGCATAAAAATAATAGTCAAATGAAATTGTGATTATGAGCTCAAAAGAAAATCACTGTGAAAGCTGTCCCAAAATGATTTTTTTTAATCTAATTTATTAAAATGTATCATCATTCATTAAAAATCGTAATAATAATTGATTTCTTAGACTTTGTTTGGGAGCACTTATAATTTTTTTTTTTTCATGTTTTTAAAAGCTCATTTTGTATCTACAATTTTAAACATTTTTTAAAAAAATGGATTTTTTTTTAAAAATAAAATTTAAAAATATATGTAAAAACTATCATCCAAACATACATTATTTTTTACCGACTATTCTAAAGTTCCCCAAATAAAGCCTTATTTTATAACTTAGGGGTGTAATTGAGCTGAGCCGCTTGCGAGCCGGCTCGAGCTCGACTTTATTATGAGCTCACGAGCCGAGTTTATCGAGCTCACAAGTCCAGTTCGAGCTTATACTCGAACTCGTATATCTTATAATCAAGCTCATATATTATACGAGTTCAAGTTCGAGCACAGTCAGACTCGACTTGCGAGCTAGTTGAGCTAACTCGATTAAGCGGACCAAGGCCGAGCGGGAAGACTGAAGAGGGTGGAAGTCTGTTTTGTGACATGTGCGTTCAACGGAAGGGCGGACCTTGGGACTGAGCGGCGTGCGTGCGGATTAAGGTTTTTAGGCCTTGTGCGCTCAACGAGATGGAGGCGAACCAAAGCGGATTGAGGCGGCGTTCATGAGCTCGGAAGGAGCAAACCTTGGACTAAGGCGGCGTGCGTAAGCTGATCTCGTACCGCGTGCTCTCGACGAGATAGAGAGTGAAAATCGGACGAGTCGAGCTCAAGTCGCTCGACGAGTCGACCAGCACTGTGAAGAGTCGAGCTCGGGCTTGAGTTGGAGCTGAAGTTCTAACTGATGAGCCGAGTTTGATAAGACCACTACTCGACTCATTTACACCCCTGACCGTAATGATATCTATTTTAAAATATAAATCATTAAATAAAATTAGAAGAAAAATTAATGTAATTGCCAAATACATCCTGCCTTGTCGCGTTGAACTTAATGTCTGTAACGGGTCACCTCTCATCAACTCCCCCAAAGAAGATCGCCAACCTATAATACAATGAGAAAAAGAAAAGAAAATGGGAACAAATATCATGATGTTAACATTGAGGGTGATTTACATAAATATCACTTTATATTATATTATTTATATATTGAATATCTAAAATTTTAATATTTTATGTCTATTATCCATAGATCAAAATTGATACAAGAAATAAAATATTATAATTTATAGGATAATATAGATGATAGAAATAAAAATATATGAGTAATATTTTTTATAATAAATTTTAGGGATTTTTACATACATAACACCTAAAACTATTGAAAATACATATCTAACACCTAAACATTAAAATTTACTTATCTACCACTCCGTTACTCATGTCGTCCCATCCCGTCGCCCTCAACAACCACCTTCACCGTAGTTCCCTCCGGCGGCGGCATCCAGCTCACGACTGGTGAGAGCGTTCGGCCTCCCTTCCTCTCCCGATCTTTCTCGCTCGCTCTCTCTCGCTCGATCGACGACTTTCCTTTCCTGTGGGATCGGAAGTTACGATAGCTTGATCGGGACCAACAACTGGAGCTCGCCGGCTGTGAAAGAACTTTCTCCCTTTCGTGCTTCTTCATCCGGCTCCCTCTTGGCGGCTCGACTCTGCTCTTCCGACGACATTCCCTTCCTAAGAGATCGGAAGCTACGACATTAGATCGGAAGCTACGACATTCCCTTCCTCTTCTCTGTCTGTGCCGACCCCAAGTCGAGAGAGAGAGAGAGAGAGAGAGAGAGAGAGGACCCTAATTATACTGCCCCCGAATTAAAACTGGTTTGCTCTAATTTAATTATGATCATAATACTTAAATTTTTAATATTTTTATACCTATCACGATAGATAAATTTATTATAAAAAATATTACTCATATATTTTTATTTCTATCATCTATATTATCCTATAAATTATAATATTTTATTTCTTGTATCAATTTTGATCTATGGATAATAGACATAAAATATTAAAATTTTAGATATTCAATATATAAATAATATAATATAAGTGATATTTATGTAAATCACCCTCAATGTTAACATCATGATATTTGTTCCCATTTTCTTTTCTTTTTCTCTTTATTATAGGTTTGGCGACTTCTTTGGGGGAGTTGATGAGAGGTGACCGTTAAGCATTAAGTTCAACGCGACAAGGCAGGATGTATTGGCAATTAACATTAATTTTTCTTCTAATTTATTTAATGTTTAATATTTTAAAATAGATATCATTACGGTCAGGGTGTAAATGAGTCGAGTAGTGTCTTATCAAACTCGGCTCATCAGTTAGAACTTCAGCTCCAACTCAAGCCCGAGCTCGACAAGCTTCTCGACTCTTCAGCAGTGCAGGTCGACTCGTGAGCGACTTGAGCTCGACTCGTCCGATTTTCCCTCTCTATCTCGTCGAGAGCACGCGGTACGAGATCAGCTCTACGCACGCCGCCTAGTCCAAGGTTGCTCCTTCCGAGCTCAGAACGCCGCCTTAGTCCCCTTGGTTCGCCTCCATTCGTTGAGCGCACAAGGCTAAAAACCTTATCCGCACGCACGTCGCTGGTCCCAAGGTCCGCCCTTCCGTTGAACGCACATGTCACAAAAACAGACTTCCACCCTCTTCAAGTCTTCCCGCTCGGTCCTGGTCGCTTAATCGAGTTAGCTCAACTAGCTCGCAAGTCGAGTCTGACTGTGCTCGAACTTGAACTCGTATAATATATGAGCTTGATTAATAATATACGAGTTCGAGTATAAGCTCGAACTGACTTGTAGCTCGATAAGCTCGGCTCGTGAGCTCATAATAAAGTCGAGCTCTGAGCCGGCTCGCAAGCGCTCAGCTCAATTACACCCATAGTTATAAAATAAGGCTTTATTTGGGGAACTTAAGAATAGTCGTAAAAAATAATGTATGTTTGGATGATAGTTTTTACATATATTTTTAAATTTTATTTAAAAAAAAAAAAAATATTTTTTAAAAAATGTTAAAATTGTAGATACAAAATGAGTCTTTTAAAAACATGAAAAAAAAATTATAAGTGCTCCCAAACAAAGTCTAAGAAATCATATTATTACGATTTTTAATGAATGATGATAATTTAATAAATTAGATTAAAAAAATCATTTTGGGACAGCTTTCACATGATTTTCTTTTGAGCTCATAATCACAATTTCATTTGACTATTATTTTTTATGCTGGCTTCTAATGAAAAGCTTCTTCTTGCTATAGCTTTTTACAAAATGATACAGTCATCCCAATAACTCTAAGTCGGATGTCTTCAATCAAATTTACTCAATAATTAATCTCAAAATAATTAATTTTTTTTTAAGATAATATAATATATAAGAGATTGATTAAAATTTTATATTTTATTTATATGAACCAAAGTTAATAGTTTTGAAATTCATTTTGATAAAAAAAAATTTTAAAAAAGTTTTTTAATGAAATTTTGTTTCATTTTAAATCATCTTCCCCAAGTTTTGTGTTTTCAACGTTATGTTAGTAGAGTTTGATGGGCAAGTCAATTTGGGGGATTTTCTCTCTTAGAAGGCTCTTAGACACTATATATATCCTGAGCTCAGTGTGTGTTTAAGCTTCATTTGTGATCATTTTTTTAGTGTTTTTTTAAATAATTTTTCAGTATAAATTTTTTTATTAAAATTTTTTTACTCAAAGCTACTTTAAAATACTAAAAAAAATTATCCCAAACGAAGCTTACTCTTTTTGTTTGGAACAGTTTTCTTACTAGCATTTACAGTAGTTTTTAGCACAAAGATTTTTTTAAACAACAAAAAAATACTAAAAAAAAATTATCCCAAATAAAACCTCTATCTTCTAATTAGCTAAATATCATAATTTGATAGATTCCCTTCATTATCATCATAATTGGCTTCAAAAATATTAGTTGGGCAATTCATCTGTCAATCCAATTTTCCATGTAAAATACCGAAATGGTTCGTTTGGATCCATCTAATGTCTGTATTAGTTTATTTGGACCAATTTCCTTTTAATTTCAAAACTTTTTAAGTAAAAATTTCTGAGTTAAAAAAGTACTAAAAAAATTTAAAAAGTTATAAGAAAACTATATCCACAACAAAGCCTTAGGCTTCTTTGGAACGATTACTTTTTTATTACTTTCTAAAACAATTTACTAAAAAAATAAAAAAATTTGTAATAAAAATGTTTATAAAAAAATAAAAAAGTCCCAACACCTTAGACTCCATTGGGACGCTTTCTTACTGCTTCTTAAAACAACTTTCTAGTACAAAATTATTTTTTGTACGAAGCTTTTAATAAGTAATAAAAAAAATGTCCAAAGAACTTATTAAACACAGAGGTTTGAATCAGACCATTATTTTAGAAGAGTCACAATTTAATCACTTCCACCTTGAAAGAAAGGATGCTTTAGGAGCATAAAGTAGTTTATTTGAGATGACAAAGGGATATCTTTGGATATTTTCAGAGAAGAATTCAAAATTTATAAGACAATTAATATGACCCTAAAACATCACTATAAAGTAAGCTTAACCTTTTTGATCAAAGATGTCAAGATTCATATATTGATCGAAAAGAGTGAATACACAACTCTCCTTGGCCTATTGGTTGAGAGCTTAGGCTTCCAACTAAGAGGTCCAGAGTTCGAGTCTATGTGTATGCGTTGTGTGTGTGAGTTTGCCTAAATGGCTAAATGTCCCAAAAAAAAAAAAAGAGTCGAATTAATGATATCTTCCTACTCTTAAATTAGATTGCTTTAAAAGTCGGCATCAATCTATTAGTAGACTTTTAATAAAACACATGTTCATCATTACAAATCTTAAGATTCTAATATAAATATGATCATCCAATCTTGACCATCATATCACAAATAACTCATTACCAATCAAGCAAGGCAACAAAGTCAAATTCAATTAATTATATCAAGATATCCTAATTCAAAACGCATCCATACAAGCTTCAAAAGTTTTTGAAAATGAGCTACAATTAGCGTTCTATATTGATATTCTGAATTATATTAATATCATTGAAAATTCAATAATTTTGAAGCCCATATTAATGTATTTTATATTAGAAACCCTAACAATAAATTAAGATAAAATAAAACAAAAAAAACACTTAATATTTTACTCTATAACCTTCATTTTTGTTAATGAAACATATAAAAACAAACATTGAATATTTGAATGTCCATATGAATCAAAAAATGAAGAAGAAAAAAAAAACAAAGATAAGCACTTACTTCCCGCAATGATCGAGGAAGCCATGTCAAACTCCCCAACAAACACGTTAGTACAAAATTTTCCTTGCTCTTACAAACCCTAACTGGTTGGCGACACAACCTTTGCTCTCATTTAAGGAAAAGCTCAAAGCGATGGAATTCTGTGCCTGTTACCGACGGGATCGAGTTTCGTCGGAGTATGCTCCCTCGCTGCTTGATATCGAAGGTTCGCGGCCATGTCCATATTCGGCAATCGATCCACTGCAATCTCCACTGTACTCTGGGTAGCAATTGCTGGCCTTCTATTTCTCCTCATGTTCGATGCATATAAATCAGTATCGTGGTCGGAGCCTGAGCTGAAAAGCGTGCTTTGCCCAGGCCTCAACCCCTCGTTCAAATCTTCGAGCGATACATCACCCTCCAATGCACGAACAATCTGTGATTTGCACAATGTAAGTTTAAGTAATCTTTTTTGGAATCGGAAGAACTTGAACTTTTAAAATTCTATCTCTCTCGACAAATCTAAAAGTGCATAACTCATCATAGCTAATATTCAAGTAATTTTGATTAGCATTAAATTTAAGGAGGTATTTGTCTGTACATGCATTTCATGTTTGTAGAGGTTTACTTCTATTCAATTCATCTTATCATGTCACCAAATAATAATAGGTTACAAATTATTATTTGTTATCAATTAGGATGAACGTTGGCACTCTAATATTCTCATTACTTGCTTCATGGCATTTGCATGATTTACATGATCTAGATCAGGGTACAACAACAAGTCTTTATCCCACTATATGGGGTCTGCTACATGACCTTTTTCTCATTGTGTCATATTAAGAGTCAAATTCTCATCTAAATTTAAAAAAAAGAGATCATTTCTAATATTTTTTAACCAAATCTTTTTAGATCTACTCAACCTTTTTTAACATAAGTCAAATCTAATACATCTACTTTCCTAACCGGTCATTGGAAGGCCGCCTTTTTATGTGACCAAACCATCTAACGTGACTCTCCTAATCTATCTTCTATTGGAGCAACTCCAACCTTTTCACGTATATGCTCATTTTGTATCCTGACTCTAAGAGTAAAAGACACTCATCCACCTGAGCATCCTCATCTATGCAACACTTAATTAACATTATACTTTCTCTTTTAATGACCAACATTCTACACGATAAAGCATTGTAAGTCTCACTAACCATCTTATAGAATTTTCCCCTTAAATTTGAGTGGGACTTTTCTATCACACAACAAGCACCGATGCATTCCTCCACTTCAACCATCAGAATTGAATTCTACTAATAATATCTCAATCTATTTTACCATTGTTATAAACAACAGCCAAAATATATCTAAAAC